AGTATCTTAAGACAAAGCTGAATGAAAAAGTTTTTTCCAAAACACAAGAAGTCTGACATGAAAATAGCTTAATAGAAAAGGCTTTGTATTCTTTTGGCACCAGTTTTAAAGGCACTGCATATTCACACTCCCCAAATCATGTCAGTAATACCATTTACATCCCACACCACACAAAAATTTTACCAGAACAACACTCTCATTCATATGAGATTGCTGCTGTTGCCTCCTAAATACAATATACAAAAAGCAAGAGGTAATAATAAATACAAACAGCTCTTTACTTTGTCTTGTAATTCCAGATGCGGACAGATCTATCCAGGGAACACGTAGCAAGGATGGGTTTCCAAATACACATGTCCAGACCAGTGATTGAATTAGAATGCAATGGGAAATTCATATATGCAAAATAAGATATCTTCTCCTGAGAAGGAATGAGAACATTAACAAATCACAAATATTTCATTGCAAGCAGTAAGGCAGATAAAAAAATCTATCATGGGTCTTTCCGTACAGTTGTAGAATAGATTTGAGGGAACCACTTAATCCTTTCACTGCACTGGTCTGAACATAACAATGCCAAAAGCCTAACAATGCTAGTTTTAAGTTCATAATTAATAATCAAGAAAAGGGATGCAGGGCAGAGCAGTGAGAGCATAACATAACTGCAGGTATATAAAAAAAGGCAAGTTAGATAAATAAATAAAACTGGACCTGCAAGAATTCAGTTAATACCTTCTGGTCAGGCAGATACTTTAAAAAAAGTCAAGTGCTGAGTGATAGAAAACTTCACTAGGATGTCTAGCTACCACATGCTGGAAGTGAAGCATCAATAAAATGTTAGGCTGCATGTGGAAACAGAACCCCTAACTACAACCCGTCTTCCTGTAAAGATCTTTCTGTATGCCTTTACACAGGTTTTACTCAATTCCATAAAAGTCTATTTAATGATAATACATTTTTCACTTATCTTTGTATTATTTTATTCCTTTAGAGTAGGGAAGGTTTTTCATTACGTTTGTGTTTCACAGACAGGTTTCACTTCTAGGTAAGACTTCAGCTATCATTTTAGAGTAGAAGGAGATTCCCATGGCCGTTCCAGCTTTATCATTGTAATAAAGTTTCTGCATATTACAGTGGAGCAGGAACCACAGAGTTACATCGAGGATATCTCAGTCCAAGCCTTAGTGAAGTGGTTCAGCAGTAACAGGCACCCTTTAATAGTCTTAAGTGCTCTCTATCCTGCTGAAAAGCATCGAGTATTTGCAGGGAGGGAGGTTTGAGCAAGGGGCTGCAGAAACACTGTCCTCAGAGAAGCACACCAAGCACTTCAGATGTTGAGCTTTAAGGGTTCATTTGAAGGATTTAATGAGAATGCATCACAGAAAACAAGACTGACTATTCTGTATCATTACAATACTGGACATGAAAGCTGTGCAATGTGACAGAACTGTACTTACCCTTATAAGTTTGGTGGAGAACATGGTAAACATGTAGAGCTGATTTTTATTTGTGCTAACAACCATCATTTCCTCAGAGGGGCTGAAGCATATACATGTAATGTCCTGTCTGCTTGACTTTTTTGGCTCGGTGCTGAACAGGTCCTGAGGCAGCTGCACAAGAAAGGCTTCCTGTGGGTTGTGCCAGGTTTCCATGTTTTGGTAGTAGGCATGCACACACACAAACTTTTGTTGTAATGCTCCTCTAATAAGCACATACATAATATCAGCAAGACAGCTTGGATATTTAATAGCACATAACTACTGCAAGGCATGGAATAGAGGACAGGAGGACAACCTAATGGTATTCATAACATCACAGGGGACATTTCAGCAGTAACATGAAGTACTGCACTAAACAAGAATTAAAATGGTTGTAGAGAAATATCAAGAAAAAAACCTAGCAAGCGTCAGAATGAAAACTGCCTAAAAATTGTGATTAGAATAACAATTATTTGTAATGTATCATTAAGGTAGATAAGTCTTATTACAGGATCTCATGCATAGGGAAGATCTGACCTTTTAGAATCAGAGTATGAAGTCTTGACCAGTTCATTAGAGTTAAATGTTCTTATGCAGAGATTTCAGTAGGTCAATGGATACAGTTTGCTATAGAACAGTTAGAAGGATTATTTAAGAATGCATAGGTCTCCTGACAGCTCTAATAAATACCTGAGGAGAGAAAAGCTTCTCCTTGGAAAAAAACAAGCAGCCAAGTTCTTAAAAACTGATGTAAACTATCTCTTAGTCCTAAAAGTCTCCACAAATAAAAGTTTCTTAAAGGTTTCCTGAAGTTTAGCAGCCTCAAAGCACATTTTATATGTGGGAAGGAAACATACAGAACTACCTTGAAGAAGGTCATCAGGCACTGACTGTCAGTGTGACCTTTGGCAACTCCTTTTGATATCACCAGGACAGTTAGCTAATCCTTACAATGCAGTTTAGCAGTGTGCTAAAAATTATTATCAAAAACTGAATCAGAAACACTCACAGTTCTCTAAACAGGGCTTTGCTGCATAATTGCTTACAAAAGTGTTTTCCCTCCTTACCCAGACTTCTTGTCTCTCCTCGTAGACCTCCTTTTCACTGGTCTTCTCAAACAGAAGAACAACTCCTGGGCTAGGTGAACATGCAAAGCCTTTGGAATATGCTGCCACTGCAGATATTTGAGGCAAAGAATGCTGTTGTAAACCATTATCTTCAAAGGCCACTCCACTAGAAACAACAGAAATGCAATTGGGAAATGCATAAAGACTTACAAATAAAGAAGCACAAATCAAAAAATGCTAAGCAGCAACTGACGACATAGACTGGACAGGAAGGAAGGAACTAATCTGACTGCAAAAGCATGGAACTATTACTAAAAACATTGAACAGATTTACCTCTCATATTCTATTGTTGTTTCTTCTTCTGGTTTCCTGGGTGGTTTTCTGTACTCCAAACTTTTCTCCCAGAGCAGCTCTCCAGTTTCAAACAAGCTAAGTTTGCCTGTGTCAGTGCCACATATAACTTCCTCCTCGGACAGCCAGGCATGGCACAGGTAGTTTTCTGGCTCTCCCCTTTGTAAATTCATCTGCTTTAAATATCCTTCACTGTACTTGAAAAGTTTAAAAAAGCCATTTCCAGTGATACAAACCTGGGTATTGTCTTGAGGATTAAAGCTCACCTATGGAACAAAAAAGAGAGGAAGCATTTTTTTCAGCTATGTTCACAAATATTATTCCTGTTCTGAAGACTTTCTATACCAGATACAGGAAAACAAACAGGGGAAGATGGTTCAGAGAACCAAATAGGAATACTAAAGACAGTACGAATACACCATACCTACATACCGCAGTTTTCCCCCTTTCAAAAGTGTGTCTATTAAAATTAAATTACAAAAGTAAGGACAAAATACTTCTTTATTACTGACTAAAAATTTTTTCAACTAGCAAGCTTCCTGAAAAGTGGGACCATTTGTTCTCAAAAGGCCAGGAATAAGTTCTGCATTCCTGTGTTTCAAGCTAACAGTATGTACGTGAATTCACATAATTAGGTTGTTTATTTGTGAAAATGATGGAATAGCCATCTCAATAGTCAACATGAAGGACAGGAAGGGTAGTTTGAAGTAATTTTTTTGTGCTTTATGGGACTTTACACAGCCAAAGTCTTTACACTCCCCTCTCTTTAGGAATTGAGGTAATGAATTCAGTAGTTCAGCCAACCTCTGCTTGTAGCTCTACCCCAGAAAAAATGGCAGCTGGAGTTCAACCAACATATGGACTGAAAGAATCTAAAAAGGAGCACCCAAAGCTGGATGCAGGAATCATTTGTGTGCAGCCTGCTCCTAGCCACTCTTCTCTGCTCCGAACACAGAAGATTGCATGAAGGAAAAGGTGCACTGAGAGCTTCCAAGAAATGTGTTACAACTACTGAGCACAGCCCATCTATTTAGTGAGTGCTTTTGCAGGGACACAAGGGACACATTGCACACCCACTGGCCTGTTGTACTGTCCCTGTAACACGGATGACATGTGATATAAGGGAATCTCATGTGATACAACAGATACAGACATGAGAATGTCTTTTTTGGGTCAGTGCAAAACTTTATTTAGCCTAGGGTCCTATTGCTGAGGGAGGCCAACAGCAGATGTCAAGAAAGGTCAGAGAAACTGTATGAAATCTACAGTGTGGAGCCCTCTCCTCTCTTGCCATGGATAAAAAGCCATATGGCCACGGGAAAACAGACTGTGCACATGTCCTGAAGGATGAACGTATGTCCAACCTCGCACCTGCTACTTGCTGAACTACAGTTTGATCGTTTTATCCACTTTTTTGAAAAGTGAAGTGTGCTCCCGAAGAACCAGTCAGCTGCGAAGGGGAGCGTTACCAGCGAGCGGCAGGGACGGTGGCACGGCTCCGGGAGCTCCGGGAGCCCTGGCAGCTCTGGCAGCTCTGGCAGCAGGCGGAGCTGCAGCCCTTACCTGGCAGGGCCCGTCGCCCGCGGCCTGGACGCGGACAGCCGCCGCCAGCTGCTGCTTCTCCCAGAGCCAGCAGGTGAGCTGGCCCTCGGGGGGGGCCGTGGCGGCCGCCAGGAAGCGGCTGTCGGGGGAGAAGGCCAGGGACACGGCCTGCCGCGCCGGCAGCCCCTCGGCGGCCAGCACCTTGCGGCGCCGCGCCCGCTCCGCCGCCAGCTCGTAGACCGCCAGCACCGGCTGCTCGCCCGCCGCCTCCGACACCGCCAGGAACCGCCGGTCCGGGCTGACGGCCAGCGCCCGCACGCCCCGGCTCTTCTCCGTGCCTGCGGGGAGCAGAGCGGTCAGGCGGGCCGGAGTCGGCACCGGCACCGGGGGTAGGGTCGGGAGCCACCTGGGATGAAGTTGTGCCACTTGTGCTCGAGGTGCAGCCGCAGGCAGCCCGCCCCCGCGGCGTGCAGCACCACCTGCTCCTCCAGGAAGCAGACGCCGCCGGCCACCCGCGGCCGGCAGCCGAACACGGCCACGGGCAGCACGGCCGCCCCCGCCATGCCGCCGCCGCCGCCGTCGCCGTGGCGGCGTGGCTCCTTCTCGGACTCCGGCTCCGACTCGGAGGATTCCTCGCTCTCGGACTCGGAGGTGAGCCCGCGGCCGCCGTGGCGAGCCCGGTGGGGAAGGGCCGCCCGGTGCCGGCGGCGCGGACTGACCGAACTCTCTCACAGCTCCAGGAGGCCTTCGCGAGGGGCGCGCTGAAGCCGGGGCTCAACGTGGTGCTGGAGGAGCGGCCGAAGCGGCGCAATGACACGGTGAGCGCGGGGCCGGGAATGGCCGGGGCCGGGAATGGCCGGGGCCGGGCTGCCGTGCTGTGCGCTGCGGCTGTGCCCCGGCGGCCCCGGGAGCAGCCGCGGGGGCAGCGGGGCTGGGCCGGGCCAGCCGCGCCGGTCGGTCGGTGCGCTGCCGGGCTGAGCTGTGCCCCTTCCGCAGGACGGCCTGAAGCAGTGCCTGGCCGAATTCAGGCAGCAGCTCTCGTGGGTGGAGAGGCTGGACGTGACTCTGGGCCCGGTCGCGGACCCCGTTTCTCAGAGCGCCTCTGCGTCTGATGATGTTGACCCGGAGAATGATTTCCAGAGAGAGATGAGTTTGTAAGTGTCAAAAAGAAATTTCGTGTATTTTTTTGTCTCACTGTGTTGCTGCGTTTTTGGAGTTATGTTTCAGCAGTGTGCTACAGACTGCTGCAGACTGCTACACTGGCTGTCTCTGTGTACTCTTGGCCATGTTATTTTACACTTGCTGGCTCTGAATGTTTTCCAAAATAACTACAAATTAATATTAGTATATCTAACTGCTATGTGACTGAAAAGAAATAATTTCCATCTTCATAGCAGACTTTATCCTTTGCTGAGTTTATTTTCAAAGCTCCTTGATAGCAGGACTAACGCTTTAACACAAGATACGCATTTTTCTTTGTGGGTTTGTTTTGGTGCTCTTACAGTTCTCTTGTTTTGCTTTTCCTTTTATATCCCAATAGAAAAAAAAAACAACCTATAACTGGAAATAAGATAAATGTATATGTGCCAGATGTAAATGTTAATGGCCTTTTATATCCCAATAGAAAAAAACCCCAAAACTATAACTGGAAATAAGATAAATGTATATGTGCCATATATAAATGTTAATGTTGTACTGGCACCTAAGCTGCTTTCAGTAGCCTTGAATGTTTGCTAGATCCCAGTATCAGCCTGCTTGTGTGAGCAGTTTGTATCAGGACTGTGGGGTGCCCAACATGCAGTGACAGCTGGTGTGGTGGCAGAGCTGGTGTGTACACTGGCGCAGTGACAGGGCTGGTGCAGTGACAGGGCTGGGGCAGTGACAGGCAGTGCAGTGACAGCTGCTGCAGTGACAGCTGCTGCAGTGACAGCCAGTGCAGTGACAGGGCTGGGACAGTGACAGGCAGTGCAGTGACAGCTGCTGCAGTGACAGCTGCTGCAGTGACAGGGCTGGTGCAGTGACAGGCAGTGCAGTGACAGGCAGTGCAGTGACAGGGCTGCTGCAGTGACAGCTGGTGCCCTGCTCTCCCCAGCTACCGGCAGGCGCAGGCGGCCGTCCTGGAAGCGCTCCCCAGGCTGCGTAAGCTCCAAGTTCCCACGAGGAGGCCGGATGATTACTTTGCAGAGATGGCCAAATCAGACCAACAGATGCAGAAGGTAGGTGCAGTGAATGGTTTTCTTTCCAGTGTAATGTGTGTGGTTTAGCCTGGGGTAGGGATTAAATTTAACGTGTGACATGTGAGTACTGACCTTCACTGCTTTTCTGATTCCTGTGACCATGATTGGGTTTGGAACTTTGTGACAGGAGGTTTCTTTTTGTTTAGGTTTTTGGTTCAACATGGGGATTTTTGTAACAGGTTGGATGATAAAGTAGAAAAACATGATTTATACTTTGTCCTGAATGTGTTTAATATTAAAAAGGTGTTTATATTAAAAAGGTGTAAATTTTTCTTAGTATCTGTAACACTGGATATAAAGTTGCCTGTGTTTTTGCTCTTTGTCATAAAACTTGCAGTTGACTGTGGCTTGAATGCAATCCTTTTTTCATATTTAAGTATCACTTTTTGTTTGTTGTCAGTGTGTTCTGGTTTTCTGTGATTTTAAATTGTATGTTATTGAATGAATCTGTTTTGGATAGGAAATTAGATTGGTGTAGGAAATAAGACTTTCACACATTTCCTTCTTGACTGTAGTCATTGTTCAAAATTGAACTATTTTTTGGTTTAGATTTGGAAAAAAGACTACACTGTATAAATTAAAGAAACATGAGCTGGAGTCTAGTTTGAAGGTTCATGTATCAGTGGGTCACTGTTCTGCTTTCTGATGGAACCTTGCTAGATAAGCTGAAGGATAATTTGCTGGTACTAAGGCTTAAGTCAGTCCTGCACATTACTCTTCTCTTATTCACTGACTTGCATTTGAAGAACAGTTTTTATCTCCTACTGGAGTCACTAGACTGAATCAAAAGATCTGTGTTGAAATCTTTGTAATTATTCATAAGGCAGCATCCTTATAGAAATGTTTGTGAACAAGGAAGAAACAGAAAATATGTTTTCTACAGGATTGTCTTCAGTGCTTTACTTTTAATAATGACAAGAAAGAAACTAGTAAGTCTTTTTCATACACCCAAACAGACTGACATGATACTCTCAGTTCCATTAGAGCCCATTATAAGGCTTTTTCTTCTCTCTTGTGTGAGTTTTGTCTTTTTTAGCCAGTACAGAAATTATAAATTTTTTTTTCTTTTGTGTTACTGATAAATTTTGTTTTTTCTCTTCCCTAATTAGATTCGACAGAAACTTAAGAGTAAACAGGAAGCAATGGAAAGGTCTGAGAAAGCAAAACAGCTCCGTGCAATGAGAAAATACGGCAAGAAGGTGAGGAGCTACAAAAGGGACATGTGCAAAAGGATCTGTGACAAGAATTTAGAGCCTGAGTGGGGAGCTGGAAAAGTGCAGCCACAGGGGTCTGGCTAAAACACACAGAATCTGTCTAGCTGCTAGTCTTCTTGTCTAGCTGCTCTGAAGGAAAACAGAAAAAAAGATAGGATACCTTAAAAAAAAAGTATGAGACACTGCAAGGAGCAACACTAACATTCTGCTTCTAATCTCAGGTGCAAGTTGAGGTCCTGCAGAGGAGACAAAAGGAGAAGAAAAATATGTTGAATGCAGTCAAGAAATACCAGAAAGGTAAAGTCAACTTGTCTAAGAGAACAAATGTGTAAGGGCAGGAGTGGTGTGTGAGCAGTGTAGGGCAGAGTGATGTGGTTGCTGTGTCTGTAGTTCTGGGCCTTGAGGTTGGAAAGCTGCTGCTGTGCAGAATTGTGTGCCAGTGGCAGAGAAAAACCTCCCAAGCAGCTGTTCTTCAGCAAGGGTGACCTGTTGCTATACTTGCTTAGACTGAAAATCTGTCTTTTCTGAGGTGTAGCTGTGATGTCTTCACTCTTGCAGGTCTCTCTGACAAGCTGGACTTCCTAGATGAAGAGCAGACATCATCTCAAGGGAATAAAAAAGGCAATGCAAATCAACGGACAAAGAAGGGGTGAGACCAGAAACAAAAGATAGTTAAACACAGAATGTCTGATTTTTCAGTCTTTTTAGGGGATAATTTTGGGGAAAAAGAAAACTGTTCTGTTTAGTGTTAAAGTAAGTCCAAGGTGGCTTTCTGTCCCTAAAGAGTACAAAACTATGGCCAAAATGGAACAGAGACTGAAATGTGGTAATTTCTGTGTCTTTGTTCAGAGGGGAAAGGTTTATTGATGGTTGATGGGAGACCATGAGTATATATATGTGTGTGTCTCGAGAGCTTTCTGAAACAAGGAATGTAGCCAGTGGTGCTGGTTGGTTGTTTTTCAGACCAAATGCCAAAAGACGATACAAAAATCAGAAGTTTGGTTTTGGTGGGAAGAAGAAGGGCTCAAAGTGGAACACAAAGGAGAGTTTTAATGACGTATCCAGCTTCCAGTCAAAAGTGGCTCACAACAAAGGCCCAGGAAAAGGAGGAAGAGGAGGAAAAGGAGGGAAAAAAGCCCTTAATGTAAGTAAAATGTTGCATGAAAATGATCCTGGTTGGCTAGGAAGCCAGGCCATGTCTGGCAGGGGGAGGCAAGTGCATGATAGGTGCCTCCAGCATCTGGAAGTGATGCCTGTCATTGGGAGCTAAGCATAATTCAGTTAGTAACAGAGTTGGGGACAGTGGTTTGGTATCAGCAGGAAAATCAGAAAGGGAGTTAAAAAGTGCTGTTTGCTACCTGTGTGCCAAAACATTCCTCTCCAGACATTCTGACAATACCCTCTCTTTCTATCCTCCCCAAGCTATAAAACAAGAACAAAGATGGGGAACATGAAAATAAAAATCTGAATCTGTCCTTTTTTTTTTGCAGAAGAGACCTGGAAAGAGAGCAAGGCAGAAAATGAAGAACCGAGCCCGCTAAGAGAACTGTGCTCCCCAGTGGAGTTCCTGTGTTTATTTGTGTTGCAAGATGTGTTTCTGCTGTCATCAAGCAGTTAACTGTGGAACAAGCTGGATGCTTTGCAGTGGCAAGGAAAAAAAGCCAGTGGAAACCAGTGCCTTATCACTAATTTTTTTTTTTACTGTCTGTTTTGTTGAAGGATTGTTTTCTACTTAAACCTTTTTTGTGTGAACACATTAAGTGGTTTGCACAGAACTATGTGTAACTCATGTTTAGCTGTTCAATGAATGGTGGCTGAAGCCTGCCCTTTGTTCCCACCACTACTGTCAAGATGAATTTGGTCACCTTGAGTGCTGGGTCTCGTTGCCAATGTCAAAATAAGAAGTGTGAAGCTTTTTGAGATGTTAGAGTGTTTTTTTAGACTATTTGTGTAGATGGGTATGGGAACAGCAATGAGATGAATACAGAGCCTTACAGATAGGTTTATTTGTGTCACTGTTGTCAGGTTGTAAATCTGGACAGGTTAAAGTTCTCTTGTCTCTCACTGGCAATCTGCCAGACTTGCTAGATAATGAACAGGACCTAACACGTTAGATGTCATTAACATTCTGTCTGTGGCTTTCTCCCTAGTCTTTAGACTTCTCTCCCCGTGGTGCAGGGTAGCCATGGATGGTAATCTCAGTTTTCTGGCGTGGGAAGTAGAATCTGGTATCACTGTGGTCGAAAGGAACCTGGGAAACAAAAATAACAAACAGTCAAGTGCTTTTACTAAAATCAGTCCCTCCTGGGGGGAGTGATGCGTGGTGTTCTGCTGCTGAGAAATGTCCAAATGACAGAAGAGCAGGGTACCACTGTCCTGTTCTCTGCTTTGTTATGGTCAAACCTGCCAAATAAGGAAAGCTTAACAAATTAAACAACATCATCAGTTCTGACTCTAAAAATTGCTTCCCTACACAGAAGTTTAGTTGCCTCTACCCTGCCAGATTAATCTTTCCAGCAGTTCCTTAATACCACAGAGCCCAGCTGGGATGTCTGTCTCCACTCTTGTCATTACTAACTAGTTTACTTGATATATAATATGGAAAGTCAATGAAGACTGTCTTATTTTCTTATTTATCTTAGTTTCCTTTATAACAGGCCAAAATTTGCCTTTCCCAAAATGCTAATCTGCAAAGTCAGTCATCATCACAGCTGTTTGCCAGATATGATTGATGTCTCAACTTGTTAATCATATTTCTTCTGTTTATTCACACTTCCCAAGATGAATCCTCACTGGTGTATCTGCTTTGGGTATACTTACATGATTATTAATTTTATGGTTCTGCTTGCAGTTTGTTTGAAAGGTGCTGTGCAGCAGCACGTTTCTTTTCACAGTACTTCTGTGTGTCACTTCACATTGCTCACCACACCATTTCTCATGGCTGAACACTTTCATAAACAGCCCTGAGTACACCTGTGGCATTTGGCAGTGTGCTGTCACTGTCTCTGTAGATGTTTTGCAGTCAGGTTTCTCAGGGGAAGTGTACTGCTTCTCTGTTCACAAGTCTCTGCCAGTGTGAAGTAAAAAGTCCTCTTAGGTGTAAATTTTAAAAACTTGTTTTCTGTGAACAGCTCTGCTCATTCCGTGTAATTCTTGTTCTCCTTGTTTGTCACAAATTGCTTTCCTGCATGAGTATTTTTCAGGGTGATAGGCTTAACATCTCTGAATCCTGTAAAGGGCTGAGTCTTTAAGCATCCTACTCACCAAAGGTGTTGTATGCCAGCCAATTTCTTGGCTTTCAGTTTGTGGCTCTGGATATTTCTCTCTTGGCACCACTGCTGCACGGTGAAGAAGATTCAGGAATTCATCTGTTGTTTTAAAAAACGAGACACAAATACAAATGAAAGTGTTTAAAAATCAGTCACCTGTAGGCATGTGTTGGAATGGGACATCTTAACACTGTCCAAGCAACAAGAAGAGCAAGGGTAGGGGCAGCCTCTGTGCTTCTGTGAATGACACTGTCCGAATGCACGGTGACATTTCTACTCAAATATCTCCTGAGGAAGTTTCAAGACTTGCCTGACAGTACTGTCCTGTTAATTCTGGTATCCCTGCCTACTGTACTGCAGCATCTTCCTTTTCCTGCACCACATCTAGCACAAACCTGTGCTCCATGACAGCTCTTGACTTCCTCAGTTGCCTGAGACCTGCAGCCTTTCCCTGGTTTGGTTTGCCACCCTCCCCAGCCCTTGAACAGAGCAGGCCAACCTCACCTGACCCATTAAGGTTTTTGGATAAAATCAGCATGTTAGCAGTAAGGGAGCAGCTGCCATAAGGGCTCTTGTTATCAGTGTTCTAAAGTAAGACTGGGCAGTCATTTCAGCAGTTTAACTGCGTGGTGGTTGGGTACAATCTGCAATGGCAGGCAACATGTACACACAGAACATGCGTCTAGGTATTTTTGTTTTCCTGATTCTCAACCAAATGTTTATAGTATGACTATAAGGAATTTTATATATTTAATAGTTTATATATATTTTAATTAAAAATAAGGGCATAATTGCATGGATGCAAACTTGTGCTGAAAATGGAAAGTAATGGGAAAGGGACTTGAAGTGGAAAAAAACCTGCTTTACAAACAAAAATCATAAATTAGTTTAACTTATATGGTCACAGAGGTGTTTCCACATACAGGATATTTTAGACTGATTACAATTATTAAATCTTATGTGCTAATAATTTTCTTATGTAGTTACCACAAGCTTTCAGAGACTTCTTACCATCTATTGGCTCCTGTATGTTCTCATGCCAAGACATTGGCTTCCTAGCAACCATGTGAACTGGAGAGAAATGAGACAGGTGAATGGCTTCAATGTGAATTTGGCATCACAGCCAGGTACAGAACATGTATTATTGATCTGCACGTGCATAGAAGAAAATAAGTTAGAAATACTGATTAATGGCAACTTCTAGGAAGGGAAGGGCATTAACTGTGCTAAAGGCCCTTCAATGGGATGCTGCCTGTCCTTACCATATCAGAGTCCCACCCCACCCAAGGGCAGCCTGCAGAGTGCCAAGTCTCAGGAAATTATTTTTCTTTGTTGTTTTATTGAAAAACTTAGACCTGAAAGAATCTACTTACATCACCTGCCTGTGCTAGCACAGACTGTGAATTGGCATGTAGAAAGCAATCAGGACCTGAAGGAGCAGAGGGTAGTGTTGGGGCCCTCTAGCCTATCTTGGCTCTGTATTTACACTGAATTTAGAAGTTCTGCACCCTAAATAGTCGCCTAATTTCTCCGTGGTTACTAAAGGCACCATCTGGGCAAGTGGGTCATGTCTGGGTTCTGTCTCAGTGTGCAGACGGGTTCCCCAGGGAGAAGGGAAGAGCAGCAGCTGCCCTTTCCAGCTTCACCCTCCCTGGCCGCTGTTTGTCCTGCCCCCCGCCCCCTCACGGCTTGTCCTGCCCCCGCGAGGCCTCACCGGGCCGGAGGGGGTTCACGGTGTACTGCGTGAAGAGCAGCTGCCAGCGGCGCTCCTTGCGGGCCCGCTCGGCCTGCCGGCGGTTCTGCAGCGCGTCCGGCGGGTCCCGCTCGCCGCGCCGGGCGGCCATGGCCGCGCCCGCTCCCGCCGCCCTGGCAACGCCCGCCTGCCGCCGGCCAGCCCGCTGATTGGCCCGCTTGCCGCCGGCCAGCCCGCTGATTGGCCCGCTTGCCGCCGGCCAGCCCGCTGATTGGCCCGCCCGCCGCCCCCTTCCTGCCTCCTATTGGCCGCCGAGTTAAAGCCCCGGGCGCTGATTGGCGGCGGCGCACGCGGCGCGTTTGAACGGCCGGCGGGGCGATGGAGGCGGCGGAGCTGCGCTGCACGGCGGCCGTGGAGCAGCCGCTGCCGGGGGGACTCGCCCCGCGCCGCCGCCTCATGCGGAACGCGACCGTGCTGCTGGGCCGCAACGAGCTGCGGCAGCCCGTGCTGCGGGTGGCCGGCGGCAGCGGCGCGGCGGCGGCGGTGCAGAGCTTCGTGCTGGCCGGTGACGCCGTGCGGCTCTTCACGCGGTTCGCGGGCGAGGGGCGGGCGGCGGTGCGGGTGGGGCCGGACGGCGCCCAGGTGCTGCTGTCCGACTGCCCCCCGGACGCGCTGCGCCGCTTCCTCCGCCTCCTGCGCCTCAAGGTGGCCGCCGGGTCGCGGGACGCGCCGCGCCGCCCCCGCCTGCTGGAGCGGCCGCCGCCGGCCTTCTCCGCCATCAGCCCGGTGCAGGAGCGGGACCTGCTGTGCGGCCCCGGCCGCCGCCGCCCCGGCGAAGAGCGGGGGGCCCGGCCCTCACGGCGCGCCCCGTCCCGTCCCGCAGGTGCCCCGCGCGGAGAGGCGGCCCCCGGCGAGGCTCTCGGCGGAGCAGGAGGCGGTGCTGGGCGCCGTGCGGAGCGGGAAGAGCATCTTCTTCACCGGCTCCGCAGGTGAGGGCTCCCGGCGACTCCCATCGGCTCCCCGGGGAAAGTCCCGGCCACTGACCTGTTGTTCTCTCTCGAAGGGACTGGGAAGTCGTTCCTGCTGAAGAGGATCGTGGGCTCCCTCCCTCCGAACATCACGTACGCCACAGCCAGCACCGGAGTGGCGGCTTGTCACATCGGTGGCACTACTCTCCACGCCTTTGCAGGTGACGGCCTGCCCGACAGGGCCTGGGAGCCTTACTCCCTTCCCAAAGAATCAGGTGCATCCTAAAGCATTGTTTTTTGGTCCTGTGGTAGGGATCGGCTCTGGGAAGGCACCCCTGGAACAGTGCATTCAGCTGGCAGAGAGGCCAGGGGTGCGCCAGCATTGGTTGGCCTGCCAACACTTAATTATTGATGAGATCTCAATGGTGGATGGCAAGTTCTTTGACAAGCTGGAAGCAGTGGCAAGGTGAGCATTGTTAGGTCAAACTAGCAGAAATTAATTTCTCTGAGCTTCAAGTCTGCATCCTTTCTTTCATTTTCTGAATGGTTACAAGGCAGCTGCTGGTACAGGACTGTAAGGGAGCATGAAATCAAAGCATCTGGGTCGATCT